GGTGTCTCCCCCCCCCCCCGGTTAACGGAAAGTGTGCACGTCCCCCCCCCCATCTCCCAAATTATTTCATTTATTTATTTCAATCCTGTATATCCTATTTTTCTTCCAGGATACTCATAAAGCCACATGAAACCCAGTAAAGCAAAACAAACTTAAGCAGGCAATGTTGGTTGTAATTCAAAAGCAGAATAGTAAAAATATGTTGGTATTTATGAATGAACTTGCATTTTCATTTTTCATTTCAGTGTGTGCAGAAGCTTATAATCCAGATGAAGAAGAAGATGACACTGAATCAAGGGTATGTGCACCCAGTAAATAAAATATCTTTCATGGTGGAAGATACATTTCAGAAAAAATAGTGTAAAAGGTTTTTAAAACACACACACACACACACACAAACATACAAACATACATACATACATACACACATATAGAGAGAGGCATCTGTAAAATGTAAATGTATGATTAAAAACACTTTCCACAATTACCTTTATTATATTTTTCTTTAATAGCAACAGAAAATTTAAAATTGGTATATTTTGGTCATTCATGTTCTTTGTAATAATGAGATTTAAAAATCTCTCAGACATTTTCTTCACAAAATTTAATAGCTCATCAGTATTCATTTGGATTAGGCCTGGGCCCTTCGAAGATATTTCTCCTAAAAGTAGACTCAAGAAAGCATAATTTATAATGATTTCTTTCAGGTTATTCACCCCAAAACAGATGATCAAAGAAACAGGCTGCAGGAAGCTTGCAAAGATATTCTTCTGTTTAAGAACTTAGATCCGGTAAGAATGGCTTTTTATGCAGTGATAGAAGGAACAAAGGAGAGAGAAATCCTATCAGAAAATTTGATATTAAATATTAAACTGTGCTCCTTTAGCAACGAAGTGCTATAACAATTATTAAAAAATGATTAAAAACTTCAGAATGAAAATACACTTTCTGAATCAAATGCATTATTTTAATGCATGTGATGAGTTTCCTAGCTGTCTTTTAGCCTTCTGTTGTAGAGTAATGATTCCAGGCCCTATGGACTAACCCATATAGAGAAAAAATTATTAACTATGGCTTTATAGGATCTACCCTGCAAGACAGATGACAGGGTTAAAAAAGGTATTTCTCAGTTCAAAGACAAACATAATTTTATTTGAACTTGCAGGGTAGATCCTATTCATTGGTTACATGGACGTTACTGCTTTATAGAGTTGATTGGAATTGGGCACCTATAAATTAATGATGATGATGATGATAATAATGCAAAGAGTTACTTTGTTGCATGTATACATAAGCTAAATAGTCATTAAGAAACATCATTTTAAAACTGCTGCTTTGTCATTTCCCCATTGTGATTCTGAATTTATGCGGATTGTTTCCTTGTACATAACTTGGTCTTCTGCAGATAATAGTGAAGGGCCTTCATTTGTTATAATTTATTGCTAGACCCTACAGGATTAACATTATTTAAATTAAAAGTGCCGTATTTGAATGGCTAGGGTCTTTGTCTTTAAGAGTTAATTTAAAGGCTGTATAATGCAGGGTTTTTCAAACTGTGTACCAGGGAACCCTAGGATTCCCAGAGAACTTGATAGGGTTTCGGAAGAGAAAAAGGGGGAAAGATCAAACAAAGGCAATTTTTGATGACTGAAACCTTGCCTCTTGATCAGGGTTTCTCTTTGTTTGTTTGTTTGTTTTTAAACTAACAGTTCCGCAGTTGAAAAAGTTTGAAAACACTTGGTATAATCTAGAGCAGCGTTCCTCAACCTCAATGACTTTAGGATGTGTGGACTTCAACACCCTCCCACATTTTGGGAGTTGAAGTCCACACATCTTAAAGTCGCTGAGGTTGAGGAACACCGATCTAGAGCATTGTTTTTCAACTTGGCAACTTTAAGACGTGTGGACTTCATCTCCCAGAATGGCTGGCTGGGGAATTCTGGGAGATGAAGTCCATACATCTTAAAGTTGCCAAGGTTGAGAAACACTGCTGTAGAGGATTTAGAGCAACATCAATGTATCTCAGTTTCTTTTGTTATTTTGCTGTTCTTATGCTTGTCAATACACCTTGATTTGCATTTCTTAAAAGCTTACCAGTGCAATCCAGACACAAATTGCAGCAATTGAGATAATTCCTTATGCTGAGAGAAAGGTTCTTCCCAAATTCCTGTTTTTGTTGGCTTAAGAACTGTTCATAGAAGCAGACACATCTGGAACTCTCTAAGTAATCTTGTTTTCAACTGGGGAAAAGCTTTGGCTCAATATGAAAGCCTGTATTTTGCTAGTTCATTGAAATGTATTGACAGTCGGTGTTGACAACATTGCGTTAGATGCATGGCCATCCACACAGGGAGGTCAAAAAGGCAAGATGTCAGCCACAACCATGTGGTCAAAGCTCTACCTCTTTTTGGCATGTACTGACATGCTGTGGACATTCCTGGAGAGATGGTAAAATTGTCTGACCTGACATAAACATTGTTCATGTCTTCATTTACAAAAAGAAGGAAGGCTAAGTTTATTTTCCTTCTTCTTTGCTTATCAGTTTGATGATTGCTTTTGAAACAGGTTCCCATGTTTAGGTTATAGCGTATATAAGGGCAGTAGTAGGAGTAGCATCAGCTATCCACAAAACACAGCAGTTTCATCTCTGAAGTGGGCATATTTGAGAGATGGCCTCTTCTGGAACACCACGGAGCAAATCCTATTCTGTTCCATACCTTCCTGGAATCATAGGCACCATCTCTGGCACGTTTGATGAACCTGTTGTGGGTGAACAACAAAATACCCTGGAGACAAACCACTCTGCTTTGAACATACCCTACTGGCATTGTAGTGCTTAAAGCTTCTCATAAATTAATTTAAGGCAATCCAGTCTCCATAGTTGCATATATCACAGGCTTTGCTTGTGATCATAGGGTTACAACACTGGGACCAGTTTTCCAACATGCAAATTACACAACTATACAGAGAGCATTAATGGATACCAAATAAAAGGTTAGGTTCGCTAGCCATCTTTATGTATTAGGCTGACCTTGCTACTCATTCACTATTTAGTTTACCTTAAAAGTTACCTCTTTATAGCATGTATCTCTAGAATAGCTTCTGACAATAGCACCTTTCAAAGATATTTGGGGTGTGGGAGTAACTAGGAGCTTAACAAGAAAAAATATATGTTCCGTTCTAGGGAGATGAGTCACCAATAATTCCAATTTTTTCAGCAGCAGGTGAGGGGCTCAAACTATCTTTCCCTGAACTCATATCTCCTGTTATTCACCTAAGGTGGGTGGAATGGCCAGTCACGATGCCCTGTCTTCCTACATCCCTTCCCTTGCAGATGGAATATTGAATTCCCATCAGGGCTAAGTTTGCTCAGGAAATGCTGAAGTTGAGAGTAGTTCTCTCTCAACATCTGATGCCTGCTTGCTATGGACATTTGCCCAGATTACATTTGTAAAGTGATTTGTGGTAGATGATAGTGTTATATTTGGTTTTTTAGCAATCAGTCCTGATCACCAAACTTTGGAAGGCCATCCGAATACAGGTAGTCCTCGCTTACTGACCATTCATTCATCAACTGTTCAAAGTTGCAATGGCGGTGAATGAGTGGGAGTTGTGATCACTCCTCAAAGTTCCGGCCGATGCAGCACCCATGTGATCGCGATTCAGGCGCTTGACAACCAGGTCGCACTTACAATGGTTGAGGCAGCGAGCCGCAGTCATGCGATCACCATTTGCGACCTTCCCTGCTGGCTTCCCACAAACAAAGTCAGTGGGGAAGCTGTCAGGGAAGATCACAAGTCGCTCTGGTAAGGCCCCCCCCTTCCTGAGCAGTGGTAAGCCCCCCCCCCACTTCCTTAGCAATGGCAATCCCAGTCCCAATTGCCGTCATAACTTGAGGGCCACCTGTACACATTTGTATGCACTATTTAGCAACACTAGCCCACTACTTACACTGTTTCTTCTTGCTTGAAAAACTGGGCCTAGATATTATATCTCTGTACTAAAGATTGTTTTCCACTGCACTTTGAAACAAGATTGTACGAAACAGAATTTCTTTCAAGTTCTCGCTTACAAAATCTTGCATGTAATTTATCTTTGTCTGTTTTTCCTTTAATCTGAAACAAGCCAGTGAATAATGTTCTTTTGTAGAAGATCTTTCTCAGAAAATAAGAAAAGGCAACTTTCAGAATAGGGTGATCTTGCTTTGGGGTGCTGTCTGTTTGCAAAATAGGAAACAAAGCATTGTCTGTACTGAAATGCTCTGAAAGGTTTAGTGCACTGTTTTTCAAACCTGGCAACTTTAAGATGTGTAGACTTGAACTTCCAGGATTCTGGGAGTTGAAGTCCACACACCTTAAAGTGGCCAGGTTTGAAAGACACTGGTTTAGTGGGAGCAGTAAGGATGGTGAAGTCTTTGGCAGTACTACTTAAAACATTAAAAGGTTGTACCACCTTTACAAAATATAAAGGCCAGGAGAATGAAGTAGGCAACACGAGTGTTTGCCAGTCTTTTGTATTACTACCTGAAAGATCAGTGTGCCTGGAACTAAAGCTTTACTTAGTAGTTAGGAGATAACACTTCTTTGTTGTCAAGACTCTGCGACTGGAACTGAAAAATATCCTGCTTTTTTATATTTGTTCAGGTGCAAAATAAGTGCAGTAGGCCATTGTGCTCCGTATTGGAGAAGAAAAAAGATCAAAAGCTGGTGTTCAGCAATGTATTCTGGGGACACCAGGCAGGTGCTCTACACTGAGCCTAGAAGGACAGCCGATGCTATATATACTGTAGGCAGGGAACAGAAGCTAAGTTATGAAATATCAGAACATGATAGTATTCAGAAATGTTGTAGATGGGACATGAGAGAAGGAAAAAAAATGAGATGCTAACAACGGTCTAGAAGTATTTCACGTGTTTAGCATATAACGTTTTCTAATGTGCCATGCTTTGTTAAATTCTTATTTCTGTGTTGTTGCTATAAATTCCTAGGTTCATGTCAAATTCAAAAGAAACATGGAATCGCAGAGGAAAGGGTTTTAAATGAGTGAAATGAGTCATGATTGGGGTTTTTTTCCATCTTTAAATCCGCCTTTCTGTACCTGGGTGCTGTCCAGAGACTTCAGCTCCCAGAATAAATTTATGTATGGATCTGATTTGGTTTATATGGCTACTCAACTTGCAAAGAGACTCTGGGCAGCTTACAGTTGTATAGAAGCATGAAAAGAACTAAGACAAAACACTGCAAAGATTGGGAATCAAGGATCAGAATAATAGAATAGCCCAGCAAAAGGGAACAAAATAGGGGAGGCCAAGTAGCCCGTCCATTCAACAAACCTCCATTCTGGATGGGTTCATCTCATGTTCTGGTCCATGGTCTGGGGAAAATGCTGTGTTCTCAGGGCCTGACAGAAAGGTTGGGGCCATCCATAGGTCTGGTCCTGGACAGAGAAGGCATGCTTCCTGGGTCCTGCTGGGTGATGTTTCTAGAAAAGGACCCAAAGCATGCTTGCTTGCCAGGTCTCATGAGACAAGCAGACAGTTGGAGATGGACGGTTCTGCAGATGATCCAGACCTATGCCAAGGGCTTTATAGGTGATAACCAGGATCTTGAACTGCGTCTGGAAGTCTGTAAGGAGCCAGTGAAGCTTGCAGAGCAGTGCTGTTACATACCTCTGCTGAAAATTGTAATAATTGGAAGGCCTCACGTCTGTAAAGTACCCAGATATGTTTAATTGTTTAATATATTGCAACTAGGTAAGGCTACTGCTATAAATGATCTTATTCATGGAGCATAATCCAAATGCGATGTGGTAGAGTATTTATAAATAATAAAATAGTACTTATTTGAGAAATTCTAAAAATAAAAGGGCCAGAAAACCACTCTTAAATGTATGTAATGTAGTGTAATCCATTTAACTGTTAATGTAAGCTAAAAATGAAGCCCTAGTACAGACACACAGACAAACCCTTAACTATATTTAAAATTTCTGGGATAAGCTGCATGGCCCCATTTCTCATAGGCATCCATACCTAACCAGGATGATGCCAAAATGACGAAATGCCCTTTGGGATGTCACGATGCCAGCCTTGCCCTTTTGTACCTGCATTGCAATGTTGCGCACATGTACATAAGGGGAAGAGTTTGTGTTGTGACCTTGTAACATGTGCAACCTCTTCTTTTTCCCTTCTCTTCCTTTGTTAGCGTCATGATGATGATGATATGTGCACTGTACTAATGAGGCTTAGCTTTAAGGAGCTTTGGTATGCCAATTTCACATCTTTGTTAAAAGTTAACCTGGTAAGCCCTGCTAGAAATATTCTGCTCTATCACACAGTGCTGATAAGAAGGGAGAGGATAAATTTGAACTAGAGAGAGTTTATGGGTCATGCCTTTAAAAGGGAATGGGGCTAGCCACAAAACAGCCCAAATGGAAATTCTGAGCTTCAGTCCCAAGAAATTGTCTTTGGAAGCAGCACTTCCAAAGTGGTCCTCCTCCTTCTATGTTCTTGATTAACAACAAGTTGATTATTTAATTCACTGGTCAGTGACTGCAATAATAAAGATTGATTGATTAACAGGAACAGATGTCTCAGGTCCTGGATGCCATGTTTGAAAAGCTAGTTGAAGGAGGAGAGCATGTCATTGACCAAGGAGATGATGGTGACAACTTCTATGTAATTGATCGGTAAGTATGTACAGAGTTATTGGTGTGGAGATGCTGGAATTGCAATATTACATTGCATAGAACATAATGCATTTTAGTTGTATTATAAATGGCTATGCATAGCAAAAATCAAATGGAAAATGGGTATTCTCTGTGAAAAATATTGCAGGCACAATCTGGTAGATTAGGCATGTATGACCAATGTGGAAAAAAGAATATGATTTTGCCACTAATGTACAAGTATTCAATATCCAATATCAAAGTGGTAAGATAAGCTCAGGGTTCCTGTTGAATGTATGACTTCGTAGCACGTCTGAATGATTTAATATGAATGAAAATAATACCAAATGGGCCAGATTCAGCTGTTTTTGATTCAACTGTAACATGAGAAAAGTGATACCGTGGAATCTGTGTTCACGTGTCCATTTGGGGTTACGTTCAGATTGCTTTACTTTGAGAAATCTTGACGAGGTTAATAAAGGACTTAGCAGAGTGTTACTAATGTGCTCTCCTCCTGGCTTTGAAGCAGAAGAAAGATTAGGTGGATACATTGCACTGCCCTCATTTTAGAGCCCTATTCTGCCTCATTGTGTACAGCTGTCCTTTCAGATTAAATCCATTGCTGCAGGTGTTCAGGAAAGTTGTGGGTGGATTCCCCTGGAATTTGCTCTCTCACCAAACATCAGCAGCTGGTGGGAAAAACCTCCATCAGGTGCTCCCCTTACCTGGGCTGGGGATGGGGAGGAGGTGAGTTTTAACAAAGGGTTAGAGCAGTGGGTTGAGCCATCTATTAAAACTTCCTCTGCTTCTGTTCTGCAGAGGTGTGTTTTCGGAGGGATGGGTTTAGCGCTATTCTAAATACTGCTAAATCTGAATTTTAAGAGAACCCTACAATTGGCTGACAGGTGCATGGGAGGGGGGCAGTGGCTGCAAGATGAAGTGGAAAGGATTATATGGGGGCGGACTGCAGGTTAATATCAATGGCAAAAACTTGCAGATTACTTTGAAAATGGCGAGAGGGGGAGGAAACAAGAGTGAGAAAGCTCCTTATTGACCAGTCATATGAAGAAGGCATACGGTATATGTGTCTTCTTCCTCTGCATTTAAATGAATGTTTTTCAACCTTGGCAACTTTAGGATGTGTGGACTTCAACTCCCAGAATTCCCCAGCCAGCATGCTGGGGAATCTTAAAGTTGCCAAAGTTGAAAAATATTCATAAACATACATTTAAATGCATGTGGAATCCTCCTTTCCCCTTCAGAGCCAAAGATGTTGAGGGGAGAGGATTAACTGGAGAAGGGAAGATTTCCCTGCCCAATTTATTAGAGTGAGCGATCCAGAGGTTCCCTCTTCCAGCAGTCCAGATGTTGCACTTCTTGCCAATTTTTGTGGTCAGCTTTCCTGCTGTACTAATTCAGCAGGAGCTCATGCATCCACCCATCCAGGAAAATCTTACTCCTTTTTTTTTTAAAAAGGAGAGGTGTACAGGTAGTCCTTGTTTAGCGACTGCCTTGTTTAGTGACCATTCAAAGTTATGACAGCGATGAAAAAGTAACTTTATGACCAATCTTCTCATTTACAACCTTTGCAGGTCTTTAAAACAAAGGAAAGCTGAAGTAAGATCATTAGCACAGTTGCCATTTCACTTAGTGGCCCCCTTCTTAACCACCGTGTTGCTAGCTCCAATTGTGGTCGCTAAATGAGGACTACCTGTATTTTCTCTCAAAAGAGTGGTAAATCTGGGTTTATCAGGGATCCTTGGAAAACTCTTACAAGGACTTCAGAAATTGCTGGTCAGGCATTGCATGGATAAATACCTCTGGAGAAACCAGATGTCCTGTCATTCTGCCAGTCCCAGCCAACATGGCCATGGAGTGCTGGACAATGGAGAGGAGGAAGTGTGCCTGCATTAGCCTAAAGTGAGCAGAGGGAGCTGGGTTGATCTCCCTCCCCCCTCCCCGTGAGTCATCACTAGCTCTAGAGGGAGGCAGAGAGTGCAGGAATGTGAAGCCATTAACAGATAAGAGCCGGTAAGTGAGATCTCAGCCCTGGGAAAGAAATAAGCGTATGAAAGAGATTCAAACTAATCCCACCTTGATTTTGCATGGTGTAAAAGAGGACAGAGGGAAACCATGGCAGGCTTTCCAGATCCTGCTATTGTATCCTACAGCAGTAAAGTTCCAGAAGCCCTGATCTGGTCTACCTTGAAGGGCTGACCTCAGTATTGTTGATGATGCATCGTAGGTGATGTCCACAGCAAGAGCTGTGTTGGGAAAAAGACGAAATACAACTTTTAAACCAGAAGTATTAATGAGTCATGTTTGCTGTCTTTGGGGATGGGACCAAGGCAGCTTCCTGTGGACAGGGCTTTTAAGAAAGGTGAGTGAGGAATATTTGGGCTGTGGTTGGAGGGATGCGAAGAAGTGTCCTTAAAAGAGTCTAAGGCAGTCTGGGACGTTGAATTCTTCGGAGCCTGGTTTAGACCTGAGGAATGGCGTGAAACTGTGCTCTATTGGGTATGTATGTATGTATGTATGTATGTATGTATATCTGTGTGTATGTATGTATATATATGTATGTTATGAAGGTGATAAATCTTTCAGGGAGTTTTCCCCTTGAATTTTGGCTGTGTGGAATAAATACTGCCTTTTTCAATGCTGGCCTTTACCGCTGAGTTTCGTTTTGTACTTTTCAGAGGGACTTACAATATTTTTGTAAAATGTGACGGTGTTGGAAGATGTGTCGGCACCTATGACAACCGAGGGAGCTTTGGTGAATTGGCTTTAATGTACAACACACCCAGAGCAGCTACAATCATTGCTACCTCTCCTGGCGCTATCTGGGGCTTGGTAAGATTATTACCTCAAAGCAAGTGGGAGATTTCTGAATCCGCTAGGAGGGCCTGCAATTAAGTATCACCCCAAAATTGTTGGAGAGTTTTGCCATCCTCACCAGTATGAGAAATTACAGAAGAATTTGAATCCAGGGGAATCCACCGATGTGTGTGTGTGTGTGTGTCACAGAATCAAGGTGACAATCACAACTGTGCAATCAAAGCCCTGCACCATTAGTGAACATACAAAAGGGGGGTAGTTTCAACCCAAGTCATGGTCGCCATCTTGACTTTTTTGACTCTCCTGCAGATGCCCCTGTTTGAATCTATTAATACCTACAGTTGACTGAACAAACTGTCAGCAAAAATCTGCAAACACATTCTAAAGCAAGCATATTTTCTTTAGTTTAGATTATGTCCAAATGTTGCCACACAGCTTAATGTTACAGAACACCTGCATTCCACCTTTGAAAGACCCTGGAATGACTTTTCTTAAAAGAGTTTTTCCATATTAGGTTTTATAAACATTTATATTATGATTTTTTAAAATATGTTGCCCAATTAATTAATGATGCCTATTTTGTTAATCATTGTAAGATGATTATTCGGCATTCAACTTTTTCAGCCTAACAGCCACATTTCATTCTAAATGAGCCTACCGAGGAATGGCATGGCAGCAGCGGGACCACCATAGCCCAACATGGGTGGAGCCATTGCTGTGATTGGGCCGTGGCTCCTGACCTATGTGTCCCGGCAGACTGACTCACCACCTTCTCCTCCACATTGACATCCCATTCATGCACATCGCATCTCTCTCTCATTTGCACACGTGTTCAGACATTATCACCATCTGCATTCATATCACCCTCCATTTTCATAGGAGGGGCAAGCGAGGCTCTGGGAAACGTCACCTTTTCTAACAGGAAATTGAAGGAGGAGGAAGCTGACTCTACTGTCAAGTGTATCAGAGGGTAGGGTCAAAATTTGCAAGGTGGCAGTTGTGGCTCTGAGACCAAAACTCTGCCCCTTCTGTAGGTGTGGACACACATTTCAAAAAGAGCAGGGCTTTGATTCTGATGCTGTGTCCACCATCTTGCAGATGTTGACCTCTTCCCCCTTGCAGATGCTCCTGTCTGCTGCCACTTGAAGAGTGACTCACCCTCAACACCCAATTCACTCTGCTCTCATCTTTCCTGAGTTCCCATCATTTTAGGTTTGAGAGAACATCTCAAGTGAACTTCAGGAGACCAAGGGGATTGCGTTTGGCCCCTGGACCCCACCTTCCCTGTCCCCATCAACTAATTAATTGCTTGCTATCCTACATGCTTACAGAGGGTTAAAACAGTCCACTGAACATAGTTAGCCTTACAGTTGAGTAAATATGCATCAGATTCCTTATTTACAGCACCAGAGCGTGCACCATTCTCTGCCAAAGAAAAGACTGCACGCATTGTCGTGAATATCCCACACTTTAAATATTATTTGTGCAATTTCATTTTTCAGGACAGAGTAACATTTCGAAGGATCATTGTGAAAAACAATGCAAAAAAGAGAAGGATGTATGAAAATTTCATTGAGTCATTGCCCTTCCTTAAATCTTTAGAAGTAAGTGCAACTTGTTAGGATTATTTCAGTCATTTTGTGCAGAATGTGCTGTTTGGTGCCAGACGATAATGCCATATGTCCATTTACGGGTTTTCTAATATAACTGAGATTCATATAGTTCAATTATGTTGTTTATGAAGGACAAACGATTTTAGGGACTTGCCTGTTTTGAATCATAACCTGGTTTTATCATCTAGGGCAGTGTTTCTCAACCTTGGCAACTTTGAGGTGTGTGGACTTCAACTCCCAGAATTCCCCAGCCAGCCATGTCCACACATCTTAAAGTCGCCAAGGTTGAGAAACACTGGTCTAAGGCTAGTTTTTTCCCTTGAATCTCTGGAAGGCTCAGAGATAGATATTTCTTGATTCTGCTCCATAGATAGATGTGTATCTCTAAATATATGTTAAGCTACCATCTAGTGCACATGGTACAGCCTACCATTTCATATCTTGTAACTTGTATGGCTTTGTTTTCAACTGTTAAATTCTGATAATAATTGCAAAAATATGCAAGTATTTCTTTTAGAGTAATTTCTGCCAAGAAGATGAATGTCATCTTTGCTTTTAAATTACATACTTGTCACAGGCTGTGGCTTAACTGAATTTCTCCTTCATTTTCTAAATATAAAATGCCAGTGCACTACTCCAATTTTGCCATCTCAGGCCATATATATTTTTCTAAATAGTATCTTAAATATATTATGATTATATCTATTGTGATATGGGTTCCAAAGTGGAATTAAATATGAAATTTGAAGCTGTAGTAAAAGCAAAGAACAGAACTTTGGAATCCATTCTGGGGCTTAATTGCAAAACAAATTAACTCAAAGTATAGCAACATGTAACAGAAAGAATGAGGATTTCCATTGCAATCATGAGATGATATGAGATGTACATATATATTTGCATAATATATTTTATTTTCTGTTTAAGCTTTCTGAACGTTTGAAAGTGGTGGATGTGATAGGTACCAAAATATATAAAGATGGGGAACAGATAATTGCTCAGGTATGACATGTGCTTTATTTAGCTAGTTGTTCTAAACAAGTTTATTATTCTGTTACTACATAGTTATTTAAAAGCATGATTCCTTGTTATGTAAAGGATTTTCTGAGCCAAAAGAAATAGGATTGAAAAAATGTGCAGTTAAAAAAAGTTGCATTGAAAATTGAAATGTTGAGTGGTTACAGGTAGTCCTCAGGTTACGACCACTCATTCAGCAACCATTCAAAGTTACGATGGCACTGAATGAGGGGGACTTAGGACTGGTCCCTGAAGTTGTAGCTATTGCAGCGTCCCTGCAGTCACATGATCATGATCTGGGGGCTTGGCAACCGGCTCACAATTATGATGGTTGCAAGTGTCCCATGGTCACGTGACTGCCATTTGCAACCTTCTTTGCTGGCTTCCCACAAGCAGAGTCAATGGAGAAGCTGGCAGGAGATCATAAGTTGCTCCCGCAAGTCACTCCCATTCCCACCACTTATTCTCCCGAGTAACCCCTGAGGGGCATGGAGATCTCATACTCCATAGTATCTGGCTATGGTACCTGCTGCCTGCGCTTTATGGCCACATTGCTTAGCGACAGAAAATCCGGTCCCAATTGCTGTTGTAATCCAAGGACTACCTGTAATATAAACAGAACTTGAATAACAGTTACTAAACAAGTTGTTAAATGTGTGCATTCATGAGTACCTTGTAATGCTATTTAATTTTCACTAACCTGGTACCCTTTAAAAGCATTGAGACTCTAAATCCCAGAATTCTTAACCAGCATAGCTGGGCTAGCTAAGGATCCTAGGAATTGTAATCCAAACGCTTTTGCCAAGGGTATCTCCGGGTAGGGTAAAAAAAATCAATACAGTGTCTGCAACTTGCATAATTGAAGCCCTGCCTCTTATCAGCCTGTAACGTGTGTGGGTACAGCTGTGTCAGCCTTCCCAGGGAGACCAGTCAGGAAACACGACCAGATGAGCTAATTCTACTTTATTGTAAGGCTACATTAACAGAATCTTGCAAGTCTGAAAGTGCAATTCTCCCGCCGTCTCTTTTATTGCATGAGAAGTTAGGGAGGTTCCTTCCTGAGTCCCTTTCTCTGCCCATTCTGCAGTTGCGGGCTACGCCCTCTCTTATCTAATTGTTCCCTTGGCAGCATCTCTTCCCTCCTCTGCCAAGATCATGCCCACATACCGTTACAAGCTGCTACTTATATTTCCCCACCCCCCTCCCGACACACCTGGCTTTTGCAAGGCTGCTCTGCTTATGACAACATGTGATAGACAACAGACACGTGTACTGTTTTGTAAGCACAGTTTCTGACTTTTTTAAACTCAGTTTCACCAATGAATTTTATGTACAAAGGGCACCATTCAGAAATCAGGGATTGGCACCTAATTTGTTTCTCTGTATTGCAGACTTTTCTAGCAGCCAACCAATTACAGGTAGTCCCCAGGTTAAGAACTCCTTGGTTACAGATGACCCATAGTTAAGAACGGAGCCTGTTGTAGCAAAATTTGAGTTAAATGCACAATGATTCAAGTTAAATACACAGTGGTTTGAGTTCATTACACAATACTACTTACACAGTATTATACAATAATGCTGTTCTGGCTTACATACAAATTCGACTTAAGGACAGACCTTGGGAATGGAACTCGATCTTAAACTGGGGACTACCTGTATACACTTTCATTTAGCTGTGGCTCCATCATTTTCTTTCTTTATGTAACCAGACTCCACCGCCAAGCTTTGAGAAGGACTATCCAGTCTCTGATATTCTACAGGGTTTTATTAGTCTACTGATCTGGTACTAGGTAGATTAGGTTTGGTATAGATCTTAAGGTTCAATTATGATTTTATTTTGATAAGCAGTCATGGCCCAGTTCAGAGGTAATACCAATTTTTCACCTGGAAAGGGGTGATTTTCTTTTTTTCCCTTCTCTTTCCTTCTCCGTGTTCCCTTCCTCCCTTTCTTTTCAAAAAGAGGTAATGATGATGGCTCTTCCTGACACCTGAATTTGAGAATGGTAGCTTATTCTAACTCTCTTGGGTTAAGAGATGAGGATATTAAAGGCTGGTTGAGGCACAACATGGTTTACCGTTACTCTTCTATCAATACACCTCTATTGATGCAGCTCTATTTTTCACCTGAACCGGATGGACAAAGCAAATTGCATTTTTCTTAGCACAAATCTTAGGAATAGTTAGCAATGTGTAGAGAAGGCATGGCTATATTTTATTCAGTGCCTGCTCAATTTTTTTCAAGCACCTAAAATAATATTACTATTATTTTATGCTTTATGCTGAGAAAGAACACAAAAAAATAACAGCAGAATTACGGCAAACTGTTAATTATTCTTGTTTTGATTATAAAGATGCATGAATTGCCTGGTTATTAAGAGAAAAAGGAAGGATCAGTTTAAATTCTCTCAGTGATCGATTTGGGGATTTTAAAAAAGTTTCTACTAAAAACAAGAAAAAACAACAACTCTGGAACTACTAAATAATTACTTTTATGTTTTTTTCATTCTGGATTGTTTGTAGGGAGACACGGCTGACTGTTTTTTTATTGTCGAATCTGGAGAAGTGAAAATTACAATGAAAAGAAAGGTACCATCCGTGAGAAGCATGAAAAGGTTTTCAGTTAACTAAGTTAACTGAATAAAATAATGTATTAATAATAAATAATTTATTAATTTATTAATAATAAAATGAATTTTAGCTTGGCTTTATTGGATAAACGTTTGGATGCTTTCTTTTTGTTCCCAGGGCAAACAAGAGATAGATGAAAATGAAGCGGTGGAAATTGCCCGCTACACCAGAGGGCAGTATTTTGGTGAACTGGCGCTTGTAACGAACAAACCTCGGGCTGCCTCAGCCTTTGCACTTGGCACAGTCAAGTGCTTAGGTAATGCAAAGTGATTGTATTTTGGAACTTTCTTTGTTTCATAGCAAGCAGAATACAAGTAGTCCTCAACTTATGACCATTCGTTTAATGACTGTTCAAAGTTATGACAGCACTGAAAAAAGTGACTTATGACTGGTCCTTGCACTTACAACTGTCGCAGTATCCCCACAGTTATCTGATCAAAATTTGGGTGCTTGGCAACCAGCACTTATTTACGATGGTTGCAGCATCCTGGGGTCACGTGATCACCATTTGCGACCTTCCCAGGGGGCTTCCAACAAGCAAAGTCAATGGGAGAAACCAGATTTTCTTAACAACTGTGTGAGTCACTTAATGACTGCAGAAAAAAAGGTCGTAAAATCGGGTATAACTCACAACGACTGCATTGGTTAGTGATGGAAGTTCCAATCCCAATTGTGGTTATAAGTCAAGGACTACCTGTAAAGCATTTTCAGTTGGCAGGGATATCTTTTCAATATAGTATAATCCCTTTCCTTTGTAGATCCAAATGTCATTTCTTTTGTGGAGTTCAGTATAGTATGTTAGGTACCATTGTTGTGGTATCTGATGATAGCAGAATTGTTTATTGACATTTTGATTAACCCAGAAGTAATTCATCTTTCCATAGCAATGAATGGAGAGTGGTTTTAGATATAGGGATATTGCTGTCCCTGTAGTCAGAGGCATCACCTGGGGGATCAAAAAAGCCAACATGATGGCTGCCACCACATGATGAAAGCCCTACTTTTTTACATGAGCTGTGTGCATAAAAGAGGGCAGCACTTCAATTGGATGGTTGTGGCCACCCATCTTGATTTTTTTGACACACACACCTCTTCCCCTCCCCCCCAACACCCTGACACCACCTATACATAATTACAAGGTTTTAGTTTAACCAGTTGCAAGCTTCCATGGAAGATATGTTTCCCAAACGTTAGATCTAGGCTTTAAATTATTTTAAAATTTTATATGCTTTTTATTTAATCATTGTCACATAATTTACTGTTATTTACTCTAAAGGAAGGCAGCACTTTTCTCTAAAGAAATAGATGTGAATTAGGAGGGGCAGTTAGCTTAAATCCATTCAGGGGAACAGAAAATGCTGTCTATGGTTGTAAGAATGAGGGCAGGGCCATCTTTGGGACTAGCTGTGGCTTGCCTAAAGAAATTAACCCTTTTGTGATGCCTTAAGAAAGGCCTTACATTTCTTTTCCTGTTCAGATACTGCACACTTTTTCTCTCTCCAGTTTTGGGACACTGGAGAAAGGAGCCTATAAATGATAAATGTCTTTATTTTAATCAGCATCTTTGATACTGTTGCTCCTGAAAGCTTTGGAAAACATGGCTGGATGCAGAAATAGCCACACCTAAATTTTTTTTTTAATATGCGGAGGATTTCTCAGCTTGTTCTTCTGATCCAGAGCTTGCTCTTGGCTTTGGGGAGAAGTTAAAAGGTTTCATTGGGAAGAGGGACAAGTGTCAACTGGTACACAGAAGGACATGCATATCAGTTTTTATATGTTGCTTTCTTTTTTTTTTTCAATTCAGATGATTAAACGTGCCCTCCCTTAACAATTTCATAGAAGAATTTGTCCATAGAAATAGTTACCTTCTTGCCATCCCTCTGTGTGTGTGTGTGTGTGTGTGTGTGTGTGTGTGTGTGTGTGTAATTTCTCTCTCTTAATATTTTAGTTATGGATGTGCAAGCATTTGAAAGGCTTTTGGGACCTTGCATGGAAATTATGAAAAGAAACATCGCAAACTATGAAGAACAACTAGTTGCTCTGTTTGGAACAAACATGGATATTTCTGATCCCAGTGCATGAAGTATGGAGCCACACAACCTGTGTATGAGAAATAGCACAGTCGTGGTTAGTCCACCGAAAATACGTCTTATCTTCCCATAAATGCTGAGCATTGTTCTTGATTTTACAGGGGACTGGATTTCTTTGCTTCCCCCCTCCCCATGTTTATTTGCCTTTTTGTACACTGTCATTCAGATGATCAGTACATGGAGTAGAGGCATTATTTGATTGATCCTTCCTTAAAAGCAATTGATCCACCAGCATTTCAACTTTCAGATAACATCAGTTCCATAAGCCTTTAGTGGGAATGTACAACCTTCAATGGTGTTATAGATTTAGAACCATTTGGCACTTCTAAAAAGGTAGTGGCTTCCGTAAGTCAGTTATAAGCGTTTCATTTAAGAAGTCCAGGATGTATTGCAATCTAAACAATGTGTGCAAACTGGCATGTCTTTTTATTTTATCTTGCCTAATTGCATGTCTCTTCCTGAAGTTAACAGGTTTGGGAATATATCTTTTCTTTTAGCAAATGGCAGGAGCCATTTTCAGAAAGAAAGGCCAGATTCATCTGAATATCTCATTACACAATCCTTCGGATTGCAGAATATTTGTTGATCCTGTTTGATAATGGTTTCTGTAAAATATCAAAAAAAGGGATACCAATTGGAGATACGGCAGAAATAAATTTAGTTTTGTCCATATGTCAAATGAATGTGATAGGTTAAGAATGTGCACAAGCAGTCTAGGAAGGGGGTTACGTTGTACGTATTTGGTTTGCTAGCTGGTTGGACCAGGGTTTAAGGTGGCATTTGTAAAGGATGTATTTTAAAAAGTCCTCCAAACAATAAAGCATGGCCTTGTGTTCTAGGTAAATTTTATGACCCATGTCTGGTCTTAGTCGTTCTGATTTTAGTCTTTTTTACATCTGCTGTTTTATAAGATTTCATTTTGTCTATATGAAGGACTCTGTAAACACCTTCCAGAATGTGGAGGATTTATGATGATGCTGTATAGTTTCTTTGCTGTTGTACTTACTGTGTATGTACTGTTTTCACTCCTGAGAACAATTATTACCTGTGCACTGGTTAAAAGACAAGACTTGATTCAAGAAAAGGCTCATTTGTCACATTTTAACGGACACAGTCTCCCTTGAATTGGATTGAGCAAATCTCCTGGTGATTTCATGGATACATCCTTGAAGGTTTTTTGACAACAATATGGAAGTAGTTGGCTATTGTTGCCTTCTTGGATTTTTTTTTCATTTTCCTATCTAGCTTACAAGCCTGGCACTTCCTGGGGGTTCCCATCCAAGTGCAAACTCCTAAGGTCCATCCCAGTTTAAATTTCTGAGATGATCCGAGGCCAGCTAGGTGTTGTCATCTAACTAGGTGACCTCGTTCTACTTGCATATATTTAAATGTAGTCTTCAGAGTGATCTTAATTACAAGATAATTAAGATCTGAATCTGAGATAATTTTCAGCAGTTGCAGTTTCACAGACTGATTTTGCCCATGGTAAATCGAAACACTTGGATTTTGGCATTATTCCATGTAATGTATCTGTTCTTCTGTTTCTTTTCAACATCATGGTTAGAGTTACCTCTTGTTTCTGATTCAAGGACTTGGACATTCTGAAGCTAACGCCAAGCATAATTCCTCATCCAACTCTTACTAGTAAGTTGATCAGGCACAGAAATCAACTTTGGTTTTCGGGGGCCCGAAAAACTAATGGAATTTATGATGTAGTGTTTTAGAGACTAAATGGAGAGGTTTGTAGGTGCAAAAAGAAGAGACCTGTATCTGCCACTATTACAGTAATTATTGCATCTAACGTTCATTTTTGATGATGGCAGTCAGATTGTCAAACCAAAATTTAACTAGTTTGATTCAAAGTTATCATGAAGAAGAATCCATTTTAGTCTTCCTTGGGGAAAAATATGTTAATACGTGTTCTTTCAACAGAAAATACTGCTGTTTAAAACACATGGCATGGAGTTGTTTCTTCCTTCTTGGCTTGAAGAGAAGAGGGTATTAGCCCTCCAATGCAATGTATGTTAATGTGACAGTGTATTTAATAGTTAGCAATTGGTACTGGAAAGTTCTTACACGACAGTGTTATTAGTATTATATAATTTATATCATATCCTATGATATAAATGTGACAACATTGTTATATAATCTTGATAAAAACTGTATTATCGATTGATTTGAAAAAAGTGATTGTGTTGTGGTTTGGAGGGAATAGTCAGGCAGCTGACTTGGTGGCCTCGATCCAAAGAACTATGCAATTAGTTTAAAAGGCTAAGGAAAGTTCTTAGAAGTATGTTCCTTATAAAATAAAAAGAAGAAGTCACTCATTGTACAGGGCAAGCTTCTTTTGAAATAGACCTTCAGATACATTCTGATGAAGCATGAATGTGTTTTTCAGAAGAAAAACATTTTGAAAAATTCTCATATTTAAAGTAGCTCCTTGGTTGCTGGTCCACTATGTGTCAGTCCTTAACTGTTCAAGTTAAATATTTTACACTAGTTCACTGTTATTTAGTAAAATGCTACTATGATTTCTACATAATAGTGATACTGACTTCCAATTAATCAAACAAAAGTCAGTCAACAGTGGCATATATTTCAAATACTCCATAATAAACACTGCATTTGACACTGCATTTGAAGTGCTTCAAACCATTGCTGGGCTGTTTTCTAGTAACTTCACGAGAGAGTAGCTCTGTTGACTATACTGAGTATTAGGGCTATATTCCTCGTATACACACTTCCCAGTAACTTAAATCAATTCACTTCAGGGTTGGTTTTAGTATATTTTTAGGATTGTTCATGGACCCTCAGTAGCAAACCATGATCACTCCATAAATAATCTCTCTGTACGTGTGCGTAGGTACAGGCCGATTTTCAGAACAAAAAGGAATGAGAGAAAAAGTTACTGGAGTAAATGATAAGCAATAGATAATCAGGAGGTGTACATGAAGCTGGAGCCATCTGTTTCAAGGCAGTGGTTGATCTAGAAAAATGAGGTACATAATTTCTGAAATTAAGGCGTCCAGGTGAGCTGCTTTGTTCCAGCCACTTCACTCCTCTTAAAGTATGGGTAGAGAGTGTCTTCTGCTCATGCACAGAAGGTCAGCAAAGACCAACGAAGTGAGCCTCCAGAAGCTATCATGCATCACTTTGCAGAGCAGCCTCAGAGGTACTTCGATCAAAGCAAATCATCCTTTTGAAGCGTTGCATAGCCATAATAGTCAGAACAATTATTTGTCATTTACAGCCAAGGAAATGGGCACCTTCCTATAGTATAAGAGTTGAGAATGTTAATTATATTTGGGGAGATCTCAAGAGGCATAGCTGGCATGTTCTGCCCTGGCTGCTGATGACTTGTCTTGAGGTCAAAATGTGAGTTGTTCAGATAGGAATTGAAAGGAGTTTACCGCATTGTAGATGTCCTCTAGTATGTCACCCTTCCCAAGCTAGACTTCTTCCAGATGTTGGATGCTGGGAATTGCAGTTCAACACATCTCAAGCGCCCCATGCTGGGGCCAGATGTGCACTACAATTCAAAGTGTGAGTTCCATCAGAAATAGCACAGGCAGGATGGCTCTGAAGCAGTAAGAAAGGGGGCATCTGCAGAGTTTACTTTGCCTCTAAGTTAAACTATGCCGGTTTGTCAGCTATGCTTCCATGTTCTAGCTATTCCCCAGGAATAGCCAATGTAGTCTATCAGTTAGTATTTGCTTTTAGAGAGGGAAACTTTGGCTAAAACTGTAGTTTGGCCATGAAGTCAGAGTAGTTCACCTGTGATAGATTTTGCTCTTTTTAAGAGTATAATGTGAAAAGAAAGAACATGTCCTTTGCCCAGGGACCTCCTACTTTGCTTGGAAAGAAAATGTCACTTTATGGAGGGGAGCATGTTCTGCAAGCATCCTTCCTACAGCATCCAGAGCTGCCCCCACTTGGGCTTTTTTTTACTAGGGGGGTAAAAATTGAGGGCCTTAAGTCTTGCAGAAGCTTCAAGTGCCATTTTACCCACTGAACACCTGAGCCTCACTCCCAAAATAGAGTGGAGATCCTAGTATGGTCCTCATATTTAAGGAAGTTGTCCTCCCGCTTTAAAATTTACTTTTTGTGTCCTCCTGTAGAAACTTGTAAAGTCAAATCTTTTAAAAATGAAGATTCCTCTACAGGTATAACTCAAGGGGTGTGTGAGAGGGGACCTGCCTGTGGCATCCTGGCTGTGCCAGGGCCACTCAAAGCCATTTGTTAGATGAAAGGATAAAGCCTGCTTGGTCTTTACCTCTAAAAAAATAAAAAGATAAAGTTCCCATGAGATGCCCTTGTGCATAGACTTCATTTAGAGTTTGTGGTCCAGTGAAAACATGAATAGGAGATAGGAGAACCTGAGCTGTATACTTTTCAGATACATGTGAAGAGTGAATAATGTGTGGTTTTGATAATTCTAGTTATGGAGAAACATGAGAGTGGAGGGCTATAGCTACTCGATTGGCAAAACAAAATTAAATCCTGGGATCTCTGTTAAAAAGGGTCTTGGACAGCAAAGGTAGGGAAGATTTACCTGTAGCTTTGGGGAGCTGAACGCAGAACAAGCTATATTGGACTAAAAGGAAGGAAGCAGTTTCATCTGTTTTCGCTAGCCTAACGTGGACCACCTCCCATCAGCTTCACAAGACTTTCCTTTTTGTGATTTTTAGTGGGCTTAGTTTAATTATTTGTACTATGAATTCAGTGAACTTCAAGAATTATTTTGATATATGTATGTGTGTGCGTGTGCACCCTGTGTTTTCTTTTAAGAGCATTATAATCTATTCTGCACATTTTGGGTAGAGCAGGAGTAGAACAAAAACAAAACTGAAAATATTCTCCCTTGCCGAAAACATTTGTGTGCCACTCCTGTTTCCTGATTGTCAATGTTCTGTCTTTTTACTGATGCCTCTTTTTTATGGTACCTATAAATTGTGAAATTTACAATGCACAAAATTAATAAATACTTTTGAATATAGAATATTTGTCATGAGTCTGTGGTTCAAATATTTCATACAGTTACTAACAGCAAATTCCGGCTTTTGGAATGAAGCGAGGTGATGGAGTCCAATGATAAATATTTAAACAACACACTATGATGCTTGTATGAATGAGATATTAGCACTCCCTCTGCTGGATCTGATTACTGTACACAATCTGTTAGAATAATAACATTTGCGTCAATTACCTTTAGTTATGATATTTCTTCAGAATGGCTTGCCCATATGGAATGGTGCTACTTTTAAAGGATGCTGAAGAACAGAATACCATCCAAAGCTGTATTTAACAAATTTCCCATTTGATGTCTTGCAACCAGATTACTGTGGAAAGGGAAGGTTAACATCTTTATTAGACAGCCTGTTAGCAATAAAACATAAAGGCTGTGTTGTTAATTCCTAATCAGCTAAAAAGGGATTATTCTGAGATGTGGTAGCTGGTTTTGTGACAAGACCACAAAACTGTTCAGTTGTTGTAGTAATAGTAGTAACACTGTTATTCATCTTGTACCTATAACTTAAAACAGTACAGGTACAGAATTTCAGTTGAAACAATCATTTATAATGGAGTTGGGCAGTTTATTAATCCAATAAACAAATGCAATAATATGGTCTTCCATTTTAACTTGGTTCTTTCTGTTAATGTCTTGCATAAATGGAAAAGATGGTATTTACTGGCTGGGAATTATAGAAACTGAAGCTTCAGTGTATCTGGGGAGCATCAGGTTGCAGAAGACTAGTATATAGTTGGTGCAGTAGTAAAGGTTTTTGAGTAGTGCTCACTGTTCTTAATTCTGCCAGTCTGTCTTTTACAGTCTGGACAGAATCTAATGAACATACAATATTTATCTTACTAGTAGGAAACAGCAAAACCAAACTGAGTAAACGCTTGCAGCCAAGCAGAAATGGCCATGTCCATAAACTGTTATACATTTGGTTATACCTGACAAGGAACTGGCTAATTCTTAATAAGTAAGCAGCAGTATTTATTTCTTACAAAAATTTATAAGGTCATCCAACTCAAACAATGTGGCTCTGGGTAGCATACAGCATCCTGCCAGTTCCTGTTGCTTGTGTTCATACCTGTTTTTTGGATACTTTAGTGATTTTTCTTTACCTCCCCCACTTAAGTAGCTCCTTCTCAGCTTTCCCCCTTCATCTGTTCTCCAGATAGATAGATAGATAAATAGATAATGCAATTGGTTTATGCTAATTTTTATTGCGATTTTTTTGTTTTTGTTTTGCTAGCCCAGACTAATTTATTGAAGAATAGACACAGCGTGGAAGACCCCAATGTTTAGTATGATGAGGAAGAATACACTATTTTGTTAATTTTTTTCATCACGTTAAATTCCTATATTCTGTATCTTTCTTTCTTTCTGAATCCTAAAGGCCTGAAAAGGCATTGAAGGCTGATAATTTTGTTTTTCCCTTTTCTAGATTTTTCCCCTCATTATATCCTTTTGAGGTGGAATCAGAGCTACATAGCACTAATGTTTATGCCACAGTATAGAAATAGAGCATTAGAGATGTAAGCAGGATAAAATATTTCAGATCTTAATCATGCAGCTGCACACTTGTTTAAGCCATCCAACACAACTTAAAGGTTTGTTTTTTTAAATGATCAAACACAATTCATACATGAATAATCAATCTTTCTGTGCCAATGAGCAGTAAGCTCTGATGTGTTTTTAAATAACCTTCAAGTATCCTGGATCACTACTTTCCTTTTCAACTTCCTTCTAACTCTTAAGAGTCTAGTATAGGAAGTTCCTTGCTTAGAAAGTAAACGAAGCTGCATTGGGCATAATTTGCATCTCCCCCCTCCGTAATATTTTGAATTTAATAGCTCGGTGACCTTGCACTCTCTGGTGTTCTGCCTGCAACTAAGTCAAGGTTCCCTCATTGCTAACTCATTATCTAAAAATACCTGTTTATTCAGCTGACCCTAGAATGAATCAAATTATAGAAAATACAAATAATCGCAAAGGGCAAGACCGCGGTCCTCGGGAGCGACTTTTAGTAATAGGATTCCTGGAGAACAGTTTCGATGCCAACGTCTCCAGTCAGAAGTAAACATCCCCTTCTTCAAGTACACGTGTCCTAAGGCTCATACAGGATTCTCAGAGGCTGGTCCGCAGTTTCTAAAGGACCGCCCCTACAGGAAGCTTTTCTACAAGGCTGCGGCTCGTTGAAATTCCGGGAGCTGCATTTTCCGTGCTCCTATCTTTCCTCCGCGGCTGAGAGATGCTCCTCGGCTCGGAAAGGCAGCGCCCTTCGCCCTCTTCGGGAACCCCTGAAGGGCCATAACCAGCTGGAGACACAGGTACACGTGTCCCTCAGAATCTTGTTTACTAACGACCGAGAGCTTTCTGGGAATTGTTGTTCATCAACTCGGTATCGGGCGTACCGAGAAGAAAACAAAAAACAACAACGCCCATAACCCTCTTCGGCTTGGGAGGCGGGCCAGCGTCCGTTTACCACGCTTCGTTCAACTTGACTGGCTTCGCTCCAGGCCAATCAGCCGCGCGGAGGACATCAAAACAAGTCTGCTCCCCTCAGCTGGGCTCTGACGGGCGACGCGCTCGTCCAATGAGCGGGAAGGGCCTCGTGATGGACGTCCGTGCTGGTCACTCAGAGGCCGAGCTTGATGGAAAATGGGTGGCGATTTCGAGCAAACAAGAACGGGAGGGAGGAGGGAAGGAAGGGGGGGAAAGGCTGTAAGGAGTCCTGTAATGGCGACGGGTTTGGTAAGTCGCTCAGAAGTTTTGAAGTGCTGGCGAGGGGTGGACGTTGGGGGTAACTGGGAAGCCGCGGGGCTCCGTTTTGCGGTGCTGCTGCGCGGGGCTCGACGCTGCCGAGCGAGGCAGGGAGCGAGCGAGCGCTGTGCTGTTCTTCAGGTTGTGGAGCAGAGGGACGGGGGAGGAAATGAAAGGGGATCAAAAGGCGCCAGGGCTCCTGGCGCGACTCGGGGCTTTCCGCGGCTGCTTCTCGGAATAGAGCGGAGGGCAGAGCGCAGCACGTCGCCGTTTGCGCTGCGGCCCTCAGCTGCGAGGCGTACTTCGCGTGGGGCCCCTTCCTCCCAGCCCACCACCCCTTCCCCCAACTCTCGGGCCCCTGGGGAGCCCTTTGGCCGGGGGGACTCACCCGGCCCGAAGAACGGGCCCCTCTGAGTGTGGGGAGGGGAACCCCTCCCCCACCGCCCC